ATGAACTTTGCTCAATGGACTCATTAATTATGGGTGATCAATTAAAAAGGTTGGATTCTTAAAATTGACTTCCAAGAAATGACCAACTAATTTATCAATTAATCTAGCAGTAGTTCTTGGATTAGAGCATTCAACCTTATGTTTTTTAGCTTATGCATTAAAGAAGGCATTAGCTTCTTCACTTTCCAAGACTTCAGGTAATTTTTCACCTAACTTCTTCTCCAACTCAGCCATCATCGAAACTCTTGGCCAAGGTGGAGTGAAATCAAGTTCAAGAAAATCCTCCTCTTTTTCTTTAAAATGACCAGATTTGATATCATGTTCAGTAAGTGTGATAGTAGGATTGTCACCCTTATGAATTTTGAATTTATAGCTTCCCTTCAATTTTAACACAATTTATGACAAGACTTCTTCAGTGACAGTCATGAGATCATTATAATCACAATAGGCCCAATAGAATTCCATAGCTGTGAATTCAGGATTATGAGTTTAATCAATTCCCTCATTTCTGAAGTTTTTACCTATTTCATAGACTCTGTCTAATCCACCTACGATTAACATTTTAAGATATAATTCTGGAGCAACTCTCATGAATAAATCTCTATGTAATGAATTATGGAATGTCTTAAATGGTTTAGCAGTAGCTCCTCCTTAAATAACATTTAAAGAGGGAGTCTCAACTTCAATAAATCCTTTACCATCAAAATATTCTCTTAATTACTTGATCACTGAAGATCTTGCGAGGAATATGTCTCTGACTTTCTTGTTCATAATCAAATCCAAATATCTCATTCTATATCTTTACTCATGATCTTTGAATCCAAAATGAGTTGTAGGTAACATATGTAATGTTGGTGATAACAATTGAATGAAACCTGGTGCAATACTTAATTCTCCTGCCTTGGTTAGGCAAGGATTTCCCTTTACGCCAATAATATCGCCTCTTTTAATTAAACTATGAATTTTCTCAAAATTTAATTCTTGGTCTTTGTGATTGGCTTCATTTGCCATAACTTAAATTTAGGTTCCCTCTCCTTATAAATCATAAAACATTAGTTTTGCTCCCAAAGATCTAATTGTGACCACTCTTCCTGCCACTGAGACAAAATCTTCATAGATCTTGCCTTTTTCTGTGCAAATAGGACCATACTTTTCTCTAAATTGAGTTATAGTTAAATCCACTTAGAATTTATGTGGGTATGGGTTTCTATTTTAAATAAAATCTAATACGGTTCTTTAGTTTGTTTAAGGGCTACCACTTATTTTGATCTATTTTCATGGAAGAGACGAGGATCTACTTCTTCTTCTGCTTGTTATTCAACTTTTTCTAAAATTTATAACATTTGGCAATACTTGGCTTTTTCTTCTCTAGTTATTACTCTTTTTATGCTTCTTTCTCAGCTATCTTCTTATCCTTCTCCTCTTACTTTTTAAGATATTTCATTTTGGATTTGCTTATGCTTTGCTCTTCAATTTATGGAACTTAGGGTTGATTCATTGAAAAATAAAATAGATTTGGGAATGTTAATTTAGAAATATTTAAACAAGATTTAAGTATTGAAATATTCTTTCACAAACAGATATTGTAAATTATCAAATCAATTAATTAATATTGGGTTTACCTATGACAACATTAAAGATATCTATTTAAGAATCATATAATATAATTTAATAATATTTTTAATCTTTAATTGTTGGAATAGTTAAAGTAGGATTAACGAAGCATCAATAACATAAACCTATTAGACTTTATGAATAAATATAATCCACGACCTGCAAATAAAAAAACTATGGTTAATGATCAAGATTTTATCGATGAATTGGAACAATTTTTGGATCAATTGGATAAAACCAAAAAGGTAAAAATTCATTGAAGAATCAATGATAATTTTTGATGATTATGATGGTCAATAAATTTTGGAGTTCAATAATTTAATTAATACCAATAATAAATTCGAAACTCAATCATCTAAACATAAGATGGATGGTTAGATAAGCTTCCAATAAAACATGAATTTGATGATCTAGAAGAACTAAAAAAAACTATCCTAATGATATTAAATATACAATAAATTTTTGCGCACTTATCATAATTTTGAGATTTTCAATAAATTCGTATATTATAATAGTCACGATGTAGAAACAATCGATATAAGTTACAAATTCTGATAAGTCAATATATCTCAAAAGACTTTTGATAAAATACATTTATTTATGTTTGTTCAATTTTTAATGTATTCATAGTTTAATAATTGCAATTAAAAATTTTGACTAAAATATTGTTTAAAGTTTTAATGAAATTTGTCTAATTGTAAATATCTTAGAAAATAAAGAACTACGATGTTTCCATTAGAGAATATCTAAAAAGCAGATAGACTAAATATATAGATAGTAAAAAAAAATATAAAATAAATTTAATTAAGAAAGTCAGAATTCTTTTTATAATCTAAGTAACTTATGAAATTCAATATTTATCAAAATGCTCTGAGATTAAAACTGATGATTTCTTTAGTTAAACTATTCCATATATTTAATAATTTTGCATAATGGTCTATAAAATTAATTGTTTTAAAGCAATCCCATTCTCATTTTATTTGATAAATATATATCAATGAATTTTACTATAATAGTTTATTTACTATGGATTGTTATCAACTGCTTAGCTCAATAAATCTCTTAAACCGTTGAAATTTACGGAAATGAAAAACTTCTAAACATATAAATAATTTTGTCATCCTAATTTGACTTCTAGCTTACTTTTTACAACAACAAAGTAATAACATAAATATTTTTAGACTCATTCTTTCGAAATCCTAAATTGCTCAAACCTTGATAGATGTGGATGCTAAAGTCCTAAATTTAGCAATTTTTATTGTTTCGAAAACAATGGCGAATATCATTTCCATTTTTCTAAATAACCTTATGTTAATGGGGATACCATAATAAAGAAGGAAAATAAAAACTAAATTTAAAATAATAATGAGATCGAATCGCACAGTTCAAATTCTCATTTTCGGATTTTAGATCTGGAGGAATATCTCAACAAGTCGTTAGCAGCTTAAACTGTTACTTACACAGATAGTGACTTATCAAGTTCATTATAATTGGGAACTTACGAGCTATATATGAAATGGGAAATATATACGAATGGTTCATTCGATATGGCTATCGATTATAATCAACTAAACTGGATAGGTTTTGGATTTTGCCCTACTGTAAATATTTATAACTTATTATTAGATGTCTAATTGTGATATGATAATATTGTATCTATCGCAGCAAACAGTGATTGTAATGGATACTTTTTCATATGGCCAATCAACACCAAGAACCGACAAATCAAATGATATTAACATAGTATCATATGCAGTCAATTCTACAGGCTATAAGGTTAGATTCAATAGAAAATTGGATACAGGAGACACATCAGATTAAGTGTTAGCGAAAGGAGATAAATATACTTTTTGTGTAGCATGGTCAGGAGCAGATCAAATAGAAATGCATAGCGCTTGGTATAACTTTGATATCACTTTTGATAATGGAATAGTTGGGCAAGCCACACTTTCAAATGGTGACAACATTTTATTTTATGTCCATGCAGTTGTTCTATTTATAGCATGGGGAATTGTGGCAGATTTTGGAATAATTATAGGACGATTTTTCAAATCCATAAACAGCTATTTATGGATTCATGCTATTTGTTTCATATTTGTTGATCTTTCGACAATTGTGCTCGTAGTATTAATGCTGTTTGTTGGTGGTGATTCAGGAAATACAGTGGAAGATGGTGCATTGGAAGCTCACAAAATAATGTCAATTGTTCTTGGTCTAGCTGTCATAATTTAACATACCTTAGGAGTTGTTGTAAAACATTTCCTTGAATCTACAGGAAAAGAAAATAGATAGGCTCTGTTTACTATCAGAATGATTCATATAGTTTTAGGAACAGTTATGTACCTTGCAGCCAAAGTTGTTATTATTTTAGGATTCATCAAAAACGAAGAGAAATTATTATTGGTTTTGGGAATCATATGGACAGTCCTTTTGATTCTCGTTAGAATTGGATTAGAAATATATAAATCCTTCAATTCATCAATCAGAACTAAGATTGCCCCATAACAATAATAACCATTGAGTGAGCAGTAGACAAAATTACTAAAGTTATTATAAGGAAACCATCCAACAGCTAGTATCATAAAAGAATTACCATAAATTAAATGGGTATTGTTTAATTCAGATGTATATGATGTTACAGATTACTAACATCCAGGAGGCAACTTCATTATTTCAAATGTTAATGGTCAAGAAATCAGTCGTTATTTCTATGGTGCCTTTTAACTTGAATCCACTACTATGGAACCATACACTCATAGCTAGTTTGCATATCAAACCTTATTAAAAAGATACGTCGGAACTATTTAAAGTGTTAATTACAATAATTAAAATCCAGGCTCATTTTGGGATTTAATTGAAAAAGTAGATTTGTCTAAAAACATCTCTTTATTTAATTTCACTAATCCGAATTTTTAAATCAACTTACGTCAAAATGTTCTAGATTTAGGTTAGCACTTTAGTGTTTCACTTTAAGAAGTTGGTGGAAAGATAAGAATGTATACAAAAGTATTGTGCATGTCAAATCCATATCAAACATTTAGAGAATAAGTTATTAAATATAATGAAGGAAAAATCACTCAGCCACCATTGTTGTAATTTGATAAAATCAACACAGTCCCCTTGATTATCAAAAAATACAACTTTCCTAAGGCCTTATCTGCATAAATCTTTGAACATCAAGGTAACTTTTGGGTTTAAGGTCCTTTCGGAAGAGGATTAGAACTTGAATCAAAATCTAAATGCATAGCTTTTGTTGGAGGTACTGGTTTATTGCCATTTTTGGATTTGTTAGATCATTTATTGATGAAATCTATTTACCTAACAAATAAATAAAAGTAATAATAAATTTAATAATTCTTTCCCTAATATGATCAATTAGAAGAATCATTTGAATTTACATTGCTAGCTTCATTCCAAAATGAAGAAGAATTCATTGGCAAAGATTGGATAAGAAAACTTTATTAAATTAATTAAACCAATAATTTAAAGTTGTTTAATATGCAAATAAGATACTCTGATTCTACACTGGATACAGTGATTCCTGCATTTAGAAGCAGATTTAATGAAGAGCTTGTTAGATAGCATTTAGGAGACTTTAATAAGAAAGTTTATATATGTGGTCCCCCAAATATGATTTATTCTCTCACTCAAATTATCTCAAAAACAGAACAGGATTAGACCAAAGTTATGATTGTTTGAATGAATAGTATTAACTGTATTTCTTATCACATTATTAATACACAATTTTATTTTAACATAGTTTTCTCCTATTTTTGTTATTTAGATATTCAAAATAAAATATCATCATTTTAATATTTTGTTGTTGATATTTTAGAATCCTAGAAAGTCAACATTCATTCTTCTTAATTCTTGTTTGGATTTAAGTAATTTTATTTAAACCGAATTTGTATTAATTACGGCATTTACATAATAATTAATATTAATTCAATAAATATCTCTATTTATTTTTTTTTTGTCCACTCAACAATATTTATTCAACTTTTTGTATTTGAAATGGAAACCAATTACACAGCAAAAATAAGTGTAATAAATCTTCAAATTAAAATTTGTTATTGCTTTTATTTTTATAATCAAAATTTTAATTACTTTTAAAATTTTATTTAATTAACCTATTTAATAATTTGTTATTCAATGATGTCATCACTCTCAGTTCATAATGACTATAAAATCATAATTAGCATTAATTAAATGTAAAAAATCTTATCTTTGCTTACAACCGCATTATTATTGAGTGGTTTAGCCTTTTACTCATAAAATGAGGAATCTCACTCATTTAAAACTTGGTAGAAGAAATATAACAAGTTCTATTCTTCAAGCGAAGAAGCATATCGATAGATAATATTCAATCAAAATGTTGAATTAATCAATAAACATAACTCAAATCCCAACAAAAGCTATAGTATGGCAATCAATTAATTTGTTGATTTAACTAGGGAAGAATTCTAAGCTATATATTTGGGAAAATCAACTATTGTTAAAACTGAAAATATTGAATTAAGCGCTAGAAAAAACTTCGAAGCAGTTGATTGGTCTAGCAAATTGTTTCCAATCAAAGATTAATTTAATTGTGGATCATATTGGATATTCTCGGCTGTCGGTGCAGTTGAGGCTTTCTTGAGAGTAAAAAAAGTCTTAAAATGGTCATTGTCTGAATAATAACTTGTGGATTGTGCCGATTCTTGGGGATGCTATGGAGGTGATGCAGATTTTGCATTAGATTATATTGTTAATACTGGTATTGTTTACGAATTGGATTATCCATATGTAAATCATACCAAATATATTTTAAGAAAGGAAGAGAAGGATTTTGCAAAGTTAGAAGAGAAGGTGAGGTTAAAATTTCAGGAAGAGAAAGAATTGGTTCAAATGAAGATGATATAAAATAGAAAGTCTAAGAATATCCAGTATCTGCGAGTGTTGATTGCTAAGGTTGGGCTTACTATAGTAAAGGAATATTTGATGAAGGATGTACTGATCATAGAAGTAATCATGATGTTGTGATTGTTGGATTTGACAAAGACGGAAACTGGAAGATAAGAAATTCATGGGGAGTAGGTTGGGGAGAGCAAGGTTACATGTGGTTGAAATCAGGTAATACTTGTGGAATAATGAACAGAGTCGACAGAGCCATTTGATAATTTACCAAACCTAATAAATATAAACAATAAATATTATTTTATCTTTTAATTTTAATTAAAATCCTTTATGTAATAAATTAATAGTCAGAATAATAAAAAATGATATAATTATAACTATGCTTATTTCAAATCATATTCTCTTCTATACATAATAGACATGATAGATACAATAAATTCAAAAATAATTATCAGAAATATTGTAATTTTATTATAATTAAATTATTAACTTGATTGAATTATTAATAAAATAATAATATAAAATAGGAGAATTAGATATCTAAATATTTTTGAATATTATAAATTAAAAATTCTCAACTTCTATTTTAGCACTATATTCGATTTAACAATTAACAAAAGCAAATTAGATTTGATTTCCATGCAAGACACTTTTAATTAGAATTAGATTCTTTCCAATTATGAGAAAAATATCTCTAATGTTGGAATTTTCTTATAGACACAATCTTATTATTATTAATCTTTTTAATGAAATACCCATTATAATTCTACTTTTACCTACTCAAAATTTATATACAGTTTACTATTAACTTTTTGAATTTCTTTTATCTGTAATATCGATAAATCACCTTTTTTGATCAAATTTTAATGTTATACTTTGTTTTTTATCTATCCTTAAAACCAAATCCAATTATTCAAATTCAAATACTTTTTACAAAACAACATATCAAAAGATTAATATGATAATTAGTCAAAAATACTTGAATAATTCTCAAAATTCAAGCTTTTGGATGTAAAATTGAGTAAACTTAATATTTTTATACAATTAACCATAACATACTCATTAGAATTATTTTATTTTTTAAAAATTATTAAATCTTTTTAATTGTTTATCAACCATTTCAAGTAGAAAAATTAAACAACATTATGATACATCAATAAAATAATGAATATTAATTGAGTCGCTACTTATTATTCTTAACATTATTATTCTTCAAAAAAAATTTTTAAGGATTCTTGTACTAAATGGTTCAGCATTAGTAAATGGTCTTATAAAGTAATATCTTTTCAATAGTCAAATTTCTAAATGTTTTTAAGATGCATATCAATAGTATTTTTGAATTCATAATTTAATTAATTTTACATAAACTGTATTCATCTATGAAGTTAATTAAGATTTGGAAGCAAGGATTATCAGATCAAATCAAAATTTTTATCAGAATGAATAATCAAATTTCCATTTGCAAACAAAATTCTCTCATCTATTCTATTATTAATGGGATAGTTAAAGAATTCCTCTTACATACATTATAGTAGTCAATCATAATAAAATTATATTTACTAGCTTATTTCCTGATTATCAAGAGCTTCCATAATAATAACTGAATAATTTTTATTCATAGTACCCTTTATGATAGTGATAATCATATTATTCACCTTAATTTATTTACTGTCTGATAATTACTTAAAACTGTCAACTCAAATTTATTTGTAATCAAGATTGACTAATCATCAAATTTTCCAATGATCTTAATACACATCTATACAAAAAACTACATTTTAACTTATTTGATATGTAGCTCTATTTAAGAGTTTTAAGATTATATGAATCGCCACTATAAAAACAATTATTCTTATAAATTTAATATGAAAAACTCTTCTATGTCAACCATTCAGCCCATAAATTATAAGGATCATCTTTAGAAACCTATGTACATTTTATTTAAAAATATTTATTCATTTTTTAGGGAGGAAAGTAAATAATTCTTAAAGGCAAGATTAAGAAAGAAATTTTTACAAATAATAAATTAAACTACTTTAAATTTCGAAAAATTTAACAAAAATCTTATATATTATTCAAATATTAAATAGATAAAACATCGGAAGATAAACGCATTTAATACAATTAATTAATGAAAGAATTAGGTTTCAAAAAAAATGAAATTTTTGATAGTTATTATTCAACATTGTTTAATTGAGGAAAATATTGGTTACTCTTTTCTATTTAAATATAAATCTGAACTTCATAATTTTTAGAAAGATTACTTGTTCTTAAATTTTTCTTCATTTTCCTATATTAAAAAATATCCATGTATAAATGAAATTTTTAATTTAGTCATTACTCTTTTTTATTTTTCTAAAGCACAATGTTAGTTTAATTTACACTATGATTCTAATTCATAGATAATTACAAGTTCCCATATGGCTTATGCAAAGGATTTCTGGCTGATAAATACTTTTAAATTTAATATACTAACATTTTTATTATGAAATTGGGAGATTGCTCAGTTATTTTAATGTATTTTTCATTTTAGAGATATATAGCATATTTTTTTAATTGAATATGGCCTTGAGCGTATAATATTAAAATTGAAAGAGCATCAAGTAATGTCATATCATTTTTTCAAAATGAATTACTATAACATATAGAACCCTTAATTTCTTAAGGAATAAGAGATTATCTTGGGCAGAAT